ATATCTATTTTTTTAGTTAACAGTGTCACTGTATAAATTGTGAAATACACTGTAATAACATCCACTGGAGAACAGGACAGATTTCTGACGTTCCTCATTAGTCATTTGTCCAGTCTTCAGGATTTTCAAATCTACACCAAAGCTTTGTATCTAAACCCATTTATTTAAACTTCCAACAAAATAAATGTAGCTCACATCAAAAACCAAGATCTATACTTTTTCACTTCTTTATAAAACAACATTAAGGTACCTTGACATGAACGTGTATTTATTATCATTGTACTCTAGCATGATTCCAGAAAAGAGAGAAACCCATACAATTAAAAATAATGATCTGAATATTACAAGGTGAAGTTTCCTCGATACCCAGGAATATATATACACGATCTGGCAATCAGTATTTATTGACAGACATTAGATACACAAAGTATAATGTAACATCATATGAGAAAACAGTCCAATACAAAGAAGGAAAAAAGGGAAGACAATGTATATAAAAGTACTAATGTTCACAGTAAAAGACATGTACTCTATGATTCATAGGCTTGAGAGGGATAAGGATTTCCAACATTCCAAATACAGGAACATAAAAAAAAAAATTAATGAATGTCTTAACGAATGCATTATGATATACAGTTGGACCTCGGTTTACAAACGCCTCGGTTAACATAATTTTCGGTTTACAAATGAAAATCCATTGAAAATAATGCCTCGGTTTACAATTTTTTTTCACAATACAAAGCAAGTTTCCCCAGGATGCATTGCACCTGGGAGCTTTATAGCACCGCCCCCTGCATGCTGGAGCCTGTGGGTGGCATGTGGCGACGAGTGTGGAGGTCTTGGAGCAGCTTTTGCATCAAGTTTTGGAGCCATTCTGGAAATAGTTTTCAGTTGTTTGGGGACTTTTTGGTGCATTTCTCAAGCTGTGGAAAGGTAGGGAGCTGAGCTTCGTTGTTTGCATGCCTTTTATTGTGTATTCTGCATTGTGGGTTGATTTTGATGCCAGCTCATTTTGACTTTTTTCTGACCTCCAGAACTGATTAATTGGTTTTCAGTGCATTCCTATGGGAAACCGCATTTCAGTTTACAAATGTTTCGCAATAAGAAGCATCCCGCATTGAATTTGTAAACCGAGGTCCCACTGTATTCGGTAATATTAAGCAGAAGGCTAGATCCCTGCCAGCACTGGAGAGATCAAGGTATTACTTGATATCAGCTTCTTCCAGATTTAGTGGCCCCATGCTGACCAATTATATGTGTGCAATGCTGAAAGCAATTATTGCGCAAAACTACTGGAATTCATATGGCTGAGCTTAAATCAGTGTTCAGTCACAATTCAGTAGAAGCTGTCATTGTTGAATGTATAGCATAAGATTGATTTTAAATCCTGTTATTTCAGTTACATGTATGCCAGCTGTATACATGTTAAATAGTATTTTATTCAGCATTGTTTCTATTTCAAAACATACATTTATTGAAGAAAAAATTATTTTAGTGTAAGTGTTTTTTAAATGTCATCAAATAGGTGGATACATCTTAAACCAACCTTCATATGTTACTTATAAACCTACACTGGATACCACAAACTATAAATGAATATGTTATATTTTAGAATACTTGTAGTCTAAATAAAAGGTACAGCTATGTGTCTTTAAAGTGTATCTTGTCATGACCCTTACTTACCTCAACCTCAATAAAAATAAACTCTACCAAGATAAACTGGCAACATTTGAAGGTAATGAGATCAGTGTTCTGAGATATTCGTTCTTCTTTTCCATTTAGATTAAAATTAATCTAGAAATGTTTAAGTTCTAAAAGAAGCCTGCAGGGATCTGTTGCACAGCAAGCTATTTAAATTATTCATTCTTATTAAACATTCAGCAAAGTTTAATAACGGTATACATAAATCTAATTTTAATTATGAAAATTATATTTTTAGAAAGGCTTTAGACATTGTTAAGACTTTATTTATTACATGATGTAGACATAAACCATTATTAAAACACAACAAAGAACATTTTTCTTTAATATAATGTATGATACTGTTAATGAATGGATTCCAAACAATCATGTAATTAAATTTGAGTATATTTAGTTTATGTATCTGTAGGTGGTATAGAAGAGTCCAGATATAGAAAGGGTTTATAATGTACAAGATTATACGTAAAAAAAGTGACATTGTTCTACACAATACATTTCCTCCTTTAAGCTAAATGCGTTGGGTTACTGATTGCCTGCAGGAGGTGGATGAATAAGGAAACCGTACAGTTTATAAATCTGAATGTAAACAAAGTGTTTGTTTTCTGGAACAGTAGAAAGTATTTCTGAAACAGGAAAGAATAACTAGAGGCTGGGAATTAGAGAGGGATTAACCATATACTGCCCTAAGGTGGCTTCCAATTAGGTATTAGACAGGGGTATCAGAATCGTGAAGGAGGAGAGCAGCACCTGGCAGACCAAAGGTAAAAGTGGAACTGGGAGAGGGGGTTGGAGAGGGCACCTTTACCTCAACAACAGGCTTACATAGAGGTTTCTACTTTTCTGTTTTTGACAAATATGTAGTTTTTACTTTAGAATAGAATATACTTTAGTATAGCTTTTTTATTTGTTTTTATAGTATTTGTTTTCCCAATGTTATTTAAAATTAAGAGTTTACTTATGACATTGGAAGACAATCTCCTTTATTAGAATTGCTTGTTGCCATGTGGATTGGCATGGAGTAGATGAACCACTGAATATTAACATGGATGCCTCATAAAGTAGGGAATTTCCCAACTGGGATCATAGTAAAAGATAAATATATAAGACACATAATATTGTCATTTCGTGTTGTCCATTTGTTTTAAAGTGATTTTGATATACTAAACAAAATCACTGCTTTGTTGGTCGAAGATCCTGTGGTTTATGGATGCTTCCAGAATCCCAATATTTCCATAGGGCACTAGTGATTTTACATATTTTTCATATAAAATTGATCAGGGCCCCAAAGCCCTATAGCAAGTATTGAGAGTCTAGTGCTCTATTATGCATTCAGACACACCATCAATATGGAGTTCCTGGAAAAGAGGGACATTAGGATAGAAAAGAGGAACAGGGGGATTTTGGTCCAAAAAAGGGATTGTCACTCCTAAATAGGTTTACTAGGGAGATATGTTAAGGCTATAATGGATTGACGCCTGGTAGACCTTAGGTAAGAAATCAAAATGAGTTAGCTGCTTACACATCTGGGCACCAGGACACTCCTAGTATCACAACTGCAACAATTACAATAAAACATGTAATCTCTAGGAAGTTGTTATGGTGGTTGGAGTGTCTTGGTGCTGTCTTACCTAGAGGGATTGAACTCTTTTTTCGAATGATTTAATCTCAAAGTGCATCTTCTGGAACAGGATAGCTATGTCTCCTTTTCCCTCCATCTTGGTAGGTTTGCCTTTGCGGCTGGTGATCGGCTGAGAGCATGTTTTGGGAGTAATAGCACAGGAACATTCATTTAAGAATAGTAGACTGTATATTAATAGTATGATTTGTATTGTTTTTTTTATAAAAATAATAATCTCTTTAATGGACAATTTCTGTGTTTTCCATCTAAAATGTTTTTAACAACACACTTTTTACATAGTCATCTATATGGAAAATTTTAGATATCTATCCCAGGGGGATTGGGATATCCTAATTCTCTGGTCTCTGTAGACCACCACTAAATATTACACTCCAATCCTCACAACTGGGAATGGATAAGGGAAAGGGATGATTAATATGTTCTGAAATTGTTAGACCTTCGCTAATTTTGGTGTAATGATATAAGACTGATACTTCACTATTACTTGTAAAAATTACAATTTATTTCTGTTAATAACATGCTGATTTGAACATATTTCAAGTCCTTAATTTAAAGAAAATACAACTAAGCTATTATGATTCCAATTATATAAAATCACTGTGTACTAAACAGAAAGTACATTTCTACCAAGATACAACAGACAAGCTGGGTATGTATAAAATAAATCTATTTTATTGAAATATTGATTTTCTTTCTGCTTTTCACTGAATTTTAAATGTCAAAATGCACAGGGTGCATTTCTCATTTTATTAAATAAATGATTACTCCAGAGTATATTCAATCACATGTACCCTTACAGCACTGGATTGTAAGCAGCGAGTAAGGAGTAAATGCAAAATATATAAATATATATATATAGTTTGATTTCAGTAAGAAAACTTAAAGAACTATATGAATTATTTTAAAAGCACCAACAAGATATATATCGTAAAATGTTTTAACATTATAAAATTAGAATGTATCAGAGCGCTAAATGAAATTAGAGTATTTGTATTTACACAGCACCCAATATTGGAAACAATTTTTTGCTGCTGTCGCTACAACACTTCGATGTGTACCCTTCACCACATCTAAAATGCAAACTTAAAAATGAATCAAGAAGTGGAGCAATATTTAGATAAGCCCCATACCACATGCATATAAAATGAGAACAAATAGCAAATATACTTATACTCCCAGTAGTTGGCACTTACAGAGCCAGGGCAGTATGGTACATATAAAAGAGAAAATAAGAGATAGCAATAGTGCAGATCTGTATAGATGTTTTGTTGCCCTTATATCAATTGTATCTTAAACATATTCATTATGCTCATTACTAGCATAAAAGATAAAAAGCAACCAGGTTGCTGCTTACAAAAATAAATGGTGAGTGTAACAGTATGTGTTACAAGCTTTTCCACACTGGGGGTCTCCCATGTAGAGATTAACTCTGTCAAGGAGCGTTATGGTGGAGTTCCAAAGTATAGCCGTTGGACCGCAGTTCATACTTCCCGGCTGTTTGGCTCCACCCACCTCGGTGCGTGATTACATCACGTCTACGGGTTTCGCCGTACACAGACGGCTTCGTCAGGACGTTAGAATCTGAATCCTCCATTGCCACTAAGGGCTTATGTAGGAGCAAATGTTCATCTTTCATTGGTTCAGTCCCCAAACCTCAATTTGCAGCTCACACAGTTTACGGAACCACTTGTTAAACTGTCATTTTAAATCAACAAGTGGTTCCGTAAACTGTGCACACTGGGAATACCACACAAAATGGGCCATTTTGGAGATGCTCTGACCCAGTCTTCTGGCCATCACTATTTTGCCCTTGTAAAAGTGACTCCGATCTTTTAGCTTGCTCATTTTTCCTGCTTCCAACACATGAAATCCAAGAACTGCCTGTTCTCTTGCTCATTGTAATGATATCTGCATTATCTTCAAGTGTCACGTCCTGTTCCTGCTGCGGATCATTTCTGGCGATGGCTTCTGGTATCCAGTACTCTTTCTAAAAATTCTTCTTAGTTTTTCTTGGTTTTTCTGGTTTTCTATTCTATGTCTGGTTTTCATTATGCTGGGTTTTCTGGGTTCATTCCTTTATTCCGTTCCTGGAATTCCCGGTCTCTTGGATTCCTTTAAATGTTAGTTTTTTTGTTGCCACACCTGTTCCTTTGCCATTAATCCTTTTATTTTAGTCTGTCCTGCAAGCAGTGGTCTCATTACCTCTGCTCTTTTCTTAGCAGGTAAGTGCTGTGTATGTTTTATTGTTGTTTATTTAGTCATGCATATCTAGGCAGTTAGGATCCATCGTAATTGGAGTACTTTGGCGCAGTGGTGGGCTGCATACATCTTGGCCATTTATGTATGTCTAAATCTCCAATGTTTTACATATAGTACTTGGTTATGTCTCCTTGTTTTGCTTTGTATCTCTTGTCTTGTTTTATTTTGTCTTCCCAGTTCATGTACAGTCGTGTCTTGTCCATGCCTTGTTCTGGTTTCCCTCATGTCTTGTGTACATGATCTGGAATCTGCTTTCTGTCTTGCTCCGGTTCTGGGTTTGTCTAGTCTAGTCTAGTCTTGTCTTATCTTGTTTCTAGTACTGGATACATATCTGCTGCAGAGCCTCTCTATCCAGATCCTGGGAGGTGTGCATATTTTCACCTAGCTCATGGGATCCGCAGAAGCTGCATCAGGGCCCTGGTATGTGGCCACACAAACCCTGATGCTCAATACCAGGGGGCATGTGGTTACCCTGCACCAGGCCCTGATTGTTCATTTCCACAAGGCTGACTCCTATCATCATCAGGCACACAGGGGCCCCGGAGGTAGTAAAACTAGGGAACCAGTATCTGTATCATGGGCGCCCAAGATTTAATAATGCACATGTGGAGCGAAGGATAACCCTTTTGGTCCAATGACACAGTAGCTCAGATTGCTGAAATACCTAATGCAAGCCATGATAGAAAGATGCCAGAACACACAGTGCATTGCAATTTGCTGCGTATGTGGTGGCATAGCCGCAGACCAATGAGAGTACCCATGATGACCCTGTCCACCACCGAAAGAGCCTTCCAGGGGTGTTACAAATTCGATTCTCTTGATTTTTATTTTTGTATTTTTTTTTTATTTTTATCTTTATACTCTTTTTTTTATTATTTACTTTCTGTATTTTTTATATTATTACTATTATCCTTTTTTTATTATTTTTCTTTATTTACTATCCTTTATTTATTTACAATTTTTCTTTCTTTATTATTTTTCTGTATTATTGTTTTATTTATACTATTATATTTTTTTTATTAATTTCTTATATTTTGCATTTTTATTTTGTATTTTCTTAGTTTTCTATTTTTCATTTTTATTTTTTTCATTATTATACATTATTTTTATTATTTTTCATTTCACTAACATTTTGTATTTCTTTTGTATTATTATTAAATTTTTTATGTTTTCTTTCTTTTTTTTTTCTTTACTGGTATGTTTTCTACATTCCCCTTTTGGGAATCAATTTGCATGTGTTAATTTATTTTTCATTTTCTGCACAGTATGTGTTTTGAGGACGCATGCGCTCTTTATTTACATGTCAGGCCCTTTTTGGCATTGCCACTGGTAAATTCGCACTTTGGGTCTCAGACGGTTTGCGTCTTTTCTCAGACGTATATGTTCTCTCTATAGACGGCATATGCTGTCTGCCATGTTTGTTCATGCATACATGTGAACCGTTGCACACAGTAGCGTCCACCATTTGTATATTGCCACGGATGCGCAGCATGACTGATAGGCACATCGCGCCATCTTTTTGTGTACTATACATGTGCATTTCGGTTTCCCCTAACTGACTTGCATTCCACGGGTGGAAAAGCTCGTTTTTGCATTCCAGGAGGATTATCGTTTGTGGAGGTTTTTGTTTGTTTCTTTCTTTCATTTTTTCTTTTCTTTTTGTTTTTTCTTTTGGTGATGCCTGCTTCCAGTCCTTTCTGTTGATACATGTAGGTGAGCTACAAAGTGTTTATTGTTTTTATAATTATGTAATGTTTATCACTTATCACTTATAATTAATTAATCATTTAGATTGTGTTTCAGTTTCACATATGATTGGATAATTAATATCAGTTACACTTTTATGTATATATATATATATATGGTTCAGTTTACTTTTGGTGTTAGAATGATAAAGACCTCTGAGTAGCTTGAAACATTGCCCTTTTTGATCCAATAAATCTGCCTATGGCTTTAATTCCATGAGTGCCTGAAGATTTTTCCTGTTTTCGGTTATAAGTGTTCTGAATTTGCTGGCCCTGCTTCAGTGCGCTCCCCAGTTTTAAGTGGATTTCACTGCGGTTCCTTTTTTTTTTTTTTTCAGTGGGGCATCAGAACTGGACCATGGTGAAATGGAAGAAGGTTGCCTGATCTGATGAATCATGTTTTATTTTGAATCAAGTGGATGGCCGGATGCATGTGCATCATTTACCTGGGGCAGAGATGACAGCATGGAAAAAGGCAGGCCAATGTAAGCAATGTTATGCTATGAGCAATGTTCTGCTGGGAAATATTGGCATTCATGTGGATGTTACTTTGACATGTATGACCTACCTAGAGAATGTTGCAAACTACGTACACTACTTCATGGCATTGGTGTTCCATAACGGCAGTGGCCTCTTTCAGCAGGATAATGCACACTGGCACACTGCAAAATTGTTCAAGGTGTTGTTCAAACCATGACAAAGAGTTCAAGGTGTTTCCTTGGCCTTCACATTCCCCAGATATATATTCAATTGAGCATTAGTAGGATGTGCTGCAACAAAAAAACTTGACTTAACTGATCTTCTGCTAACGTATTGGTGCCAGATACTATAGGACATGTTCAGAGATCTTGTGGAGTCCAAGCTTCAATGCATCAGAGCTGTTTTGACAGCAAAAGGGACCTACACAATATAAAGGCAGATGGTTATAATGTTGTGGCTGATCAATGTACATGACAGTAATTACTTTTTGCAATTTATGTATAAAATTACCTTGGCATAAATACAGAGTCCTTACTGTGCAGAAAGTTGAAAAAATACTGACGCAATTAAGTTAGAGCCCGACACGCAGGAAAAATAGACACAATACAATGTGATAAAAGAAAACACATATTAGCAGTTAGAGAACAGTGTAAATAACACAACTGGATAACAAATATACGTGGAGATTAGTTTAGGTTCAAACTTTTAATTAGTCTGAATTTGGGCCGATTGGATAATTAGATACAGGGCTGGAAACAACCAGATGTCAAACAAAAGATTTATCTTAAACCAAACATAATGTAAAATACACCCTTAAAAAGTGTTTCTGAAAACCAATGTAAATACAACACAAGCTATTGCTGGTAGATGAATATTACAAGTAGTATCTAAAATAAGAAAAGAAAATACAATACATAGTGTGCACTGTAAAGCAAACTGGATGTGTGAATAAGCAATGGTTTCACTCAAGGATTTCAGAGCAATGCCAGGCTCTGTATAATATGCCCAATGGTGCCTATATTGTAAAATGGAAGTCACTTGTGGACTGGCCTGTGTGAAAAATCCATAATAAATAGTTGAGTTTCAGTAGCACCAGGATCAATTAAAATGTATTAGGACAATAAAAGCAATGTAAAAACAATAACAGTAATTCTTATAGATAGTCCTGCTACATAGAGATCAGACGTGTTTCGACTGTTCATAAGTCTCTCAATGTCTCTATGGACCCTGTGTACACCGCTGTTTAAATAGCCTGCCAGATTGCTTGTTGATTCCTCACACCTGGACGGGTTGCAATTGGTGTGGTGTCTGACGTCTTTTCCGGTCCATGGAATTAGACGTCATATTCTCTTTGGGTGATGGCATCGGCAGGACATCCCGCCTATACTTAGGGTGCGGCGCCCATTTTTATTAAGGACTCCTTGCCCAAATGTTTCTGTTACATCAAAACAAACTTTAAAACAAATAAGAATAAAAATACACATAGCCAAATAAATGTTAAATACAAATTATATATATAAGATATCTTGTTGATCTGTATGGAGAGAATATATGTAGAGGTTTGTTATATACAAAAATTCAAAAGAAAAAGACCGTTCTTTGTATGATGTAGCATAGAAAAACTTTAACTTACCAATAAGTAGATCACTTAACCACCTAACAATATAGTATCTTAAAACAATATAGGCTTGCATTGTGTTACACTAGATAATTCCCTATATTTTAAATCTAATGGGTGTAGTGGGACCTAGCAAAATGGAAAGGATGATTTAAAACTCCTGATAGCCAGCAAATAGGTCAAATATGAAAAAATATATAATGTTAATGTAAACGGAATATTTATTTAAAAAAATATTTAAACAGTTGAAATTTTTTTATTTATAAACAATAAAAACTTTAAAAAATGGGGGCGGAGCATGCAACGGAGTCGAGCGGACGCATGATCCTCGAGCTCCGCTATCTTTTCAGGAAAAACTGCTGCTATATACTTAATTCCTTAACCGGACATGGTGGGATCTCATCCCCTGACCGACACTCACCACCATAGGCCAAATCCAAAAAAAGGGCGGATAAAGCACCTAATAGCCGAGATATCGGCGACTCCTTAGGCACTCAGAACGGCAGCATGGCACTGCAGGACGACGGCTCCTCATACTCCTCTGAGGATTTCACCTCAGATTTGGGAGAACGTGCATTCTTTTATCCACTACCAGAGGCAAAGTCTGCCCCTACAACTGAAGATCGGGAGCCGGTCACTGCAGCCCT